GGGTAAAAAAATAAAAGGTGTAATGAAAAAATGGAGTGACAAATGCTTAAACACTCTCAGTGCTTGAGCATTATGCGAGTGTTTGCACAAGTACAACTGAAGCAATTTTATTATTATTTTTTTTTTTTGTTCTTTTGTTTCTGTATAACTGCCATATATGTGTATATGTAATGTAGATTCAGAGCTTTTTCTTTTTTTTGTGAATCCATTTGTGTATCCATTATATTCGCACCGAGTTTGCCTTGTTATTGTAGCTTTTAACTTTTTAACACATTTCGGATGGACTGTTAGCAACTGCGCAATTCGCAACTGAACGCGCCGCAGCAACAGGAAGTTGTCTGCGCACTCATGGGTTCAGTCTACTTGCAGGATTCACAAAAAAAACGAAACCGAGATACGCGTCAACGCATCAATCTCTTCACGTTTACAAAGGCAAAAGAATACAAAATGTGCACACTTAGCTGGAGCCTCAGCACTAAGTCTGAGGAAATTTACAAAAATATTGTGGAGAAGGTATTGGAGCACACCTGCCAGGAAAAACCAAGTAAATATTATTTTCTAATTAAGCAAAACCAACAAAATTCGAAAGATTTTTCTCTAGCCAAAATATCCTTCAGAGAAGAGCCATTGCTCAACTTGGGGGATAACCTTAAGGAGGATGAAGCCTTTACAGCAGTTTTTAACAATTCAGAAATATCGCACAGGAAATCCAAGAAGAAAAGAAAAGAAGAATACCTATTAAGAAAATTAAAATCGTCCAATGTCACTTTATCTGATGAACAAATCGTAGCAAAATTAAATAAGCTCCTAAAATGTGGAAAAAATAACAAGGAAATTATTTTTAAAAAAGACAGTCTTCATGAATTACATAATTCTTACGCTTTTTATGATGATGCATTTTGCGAAAACTTTTACATAATAGGCGATGAGTGTGATGTTCAAATATCCAAGCAACTGAATGGCTTGTCCGTGTTGTCACTAAGCAAGTGCAGCAACCTTTTTTTTACCATTTTAAGCGATTTAAAAGCTGACAGTTCCAAGAGCTTCATACAATTAATTAAGGACTCTGTAAAAGTAGAATACGATCCAAGATTACTAAATGCTCGCGTATCAGGGAAAAGAAAAAAAAATGCTCTTTTTGTCAACGAAAATATGATTATTTTAAAAATTTTCTATAAGGATAAGCTGTACATGATTAAAAATAAAATATGCGGTTACCAACATGACATTAATGAAAACCTTGTGGAAAATCCGCACTTATTATTTTTGGGCCAACAGGAGGCATGGATACTTATCTTGAAATGCAAAGAAGACGCTATTTCACAAAAATGCATAACTGCAACACGGTACGAAGAAGAACGGAAAAGTGTGATTGAACAGCACGACACTGTTTTAGGTTCCTTGCGGAAGTAACAACCCCCTTAACGTGTTCGTGTGTGACACATATGGCCTCTTCCCCAGGACCAGGCCACTCGTCGCCGCATTTTTGGAAGTATCATGCAAGTTCTTCCTGTTTTGTTTGAAAAATGTTCACACAGCTACGCTAGGCGCGCAACTTTGAAACCACGACAGGAGGAAACATAAAAAATATACATATGTTTATATATACCTCACGCCCTGCGTGTTTGTACATAACTTTTTTAGCGTTTAGCATTAACTATTTGTTTTTAATGATAAGTGAGAAAGTTTTTAAAACAAATGAGGCATATGGAATGGGCCTAGTGTGTACACACAGCTATACAAGTGTATATAACTAGGCATCCCTCGGCGCGCATGTAAATGCATATGCATAAGAACATGTACACTCGTTAGCGCGAACGTGTGAGGGCGGGAAATAACCCAGTTCCATATAATGTAATGTGAAGAAATGGAAAAAGGAAAAAATGGATAAATGAAAAACATTTTCACTTTATCAGAAATTAAATAAAAAAAAAAAAAAAAAAAAAAAAGAAGGATGGATGGATGGATGGATGGAAGAAGGAAGCGATATGCAATTATCAAAAAAAAAAAAATAAACGAAACAGATTAAAATTTAACAACTTATTAAATAAAAACTAAAAAAAGGAGAACATTAACAAGTGTTATTAAACATTTCACATAATGTAACACATATTACATTCAATACGTGAAACATACTACTTTGCGCAAGTTCTCCCCTTATAGCTGAAAAAATATTACAAAGTGTAGAAGCATTTCTGTTTATTAATTTTAACACGGTGAGTTAAAGTATTATATGAGGTGATATACAATTTCGTTTATTTATTTATTTATTTCTGTTCTTGCAGTAATGTTTAAGAGGGCTGGGGCAATCCATCTATGTTGAACAGCTAATTCGTTCTCCTTTCGTTATCTTGTTCACATTGTTTTGTTCTTGTTGCTATTCTTCTTCTTTTTCTTTCACTTGCAAAAATGCGCTTGGAAGCATAATCCCCCCAATGCGCCGCATTCATTCAACAGTACACTGAACGCTTCACAGCATCTTCTGCAAATCCTGCATCATGTGCTGCAGACGCTACCACATAATCTTTCCGGCATTCTGAGTTATTGTCCTACTCCTTTGCTTCATTTGTTTCTACAAAACATTACATAGGTGCAGCAAACGGTTGGACACAATTATACGCGCTTCTGCATTTTTACCAAGCATAACTTTGACTCCGTAAAATGTATATACTTCTCTTCCTTTTTTACAACTTCATGGGAACAAAAACAAAGGAGGAAACGTTCTCCACAGTTGCGAATAGCGGTAAAACAATTGCTCAAGCTGTACTTCATAGCTGACTGAAAGCCCATTTTATGCTTCAAAAAGCGCTTGTTTTTCTGCGTTTTCTGATTCCCCTCCTTTATCTTTTTCTCTTCTTCTTGTTCCTCCTTTGAGACTTCCACGCCATGTGTGAAAAAACATCAAATGATTAACCATATGCTTCATTTATTTTTTTGTAAAAATGGACATAAAAACACAATGCACATTCTTCCACTTTTTACCATTATACATCGTTATATGTAAAAAAAAAAAT